GGCCGCGGGGAGTCCGGGCGAGCTCCGCGCCCGGGCGCGCCGAGGCGGAGTCTGATGGGCATGGCAGGCGTTCGTTCGCTCGCTCGCTGCTCTCCCCGTTCCCTCGTTCGCCCGGCTCCCTCACACACGCGCGGAGGGAGGCGAAGCCCGCAGCAGCCACTTCCCAACTTTCCAAACTTCCCAGCGCAACTTTTTTCCTCTCCTCCCCTGCCCGCGCCTCCTCCTCCCTCCTCCCTCCCCCTTCCCCTCGCCAGCTCCCCGCCGGGTGGTAGTTACCGAGCGCCGCCGCCAGAGGGCGCCCCGGCCGAGGCTCTGAGCTTCTGGGCCTCCCTGCTGGCTCAGAGGTGCATGCCAACTGGGCAGCAGGGACACATTTGGGGACCGGGACCAAGGCTCGCCCAGTGCACCCACAGTTCCTGGCGCCAGCGAACAATTATAGGGGAACGGGGTTTGGACAAGGCACTTCTAGGGAATGCAGCTATCTCAGAAAATCCAGGGAAGCTAGTATTTACAACTTTGCCCAGCACTGGCATGTGCTACGTGGGTGCGCTGCAAACATTCTCTGAATTAAAATAGAACATTTTTCAAAGAACAGAAAATAATCGTTCTCAACATTCCCTGGAACGTTGCCTTTAGTCAGTTCCTCCCCCTCTCACTCCCCCACCCCCACCCCGACCCCTCCATTCCCCTGAATCCAGGAAGGATCCCTGAGCTCAGCTCTGGAAGGCTAAGGATTCAAACGTGTTTCTTAATCCATGGGAATTGCAAAGGTCCTTAAAATCAATTCTCTCCTGCTCCCAGGGGGGACAAATGAGGCTCAAAGAAGACCCAGGGGCAAGATGGGATCTTTTAGGACCATTTTCAGCAAATGGAGAGAATGAGTCATAGCCTGCCTGCTTAGTTCTGTTAAACAAGAGTTTCACATCAAAGATTAAAGGGTGAAGTTAGATGATACTGTTAGGAGCCAACAGTCCAGAGAGGGAGACAAACAAGGACAGATATGCAAAAAAAAAAAAAAGCCATTAAAATACTGATGCTGATGCCAGCAGAGGAATGGCTCTTTTCAGGGCACGGAGAGAAGGAGGTATATGAGGTCTTCCACATGGAAGAGGAAAAGTGACCAGAACATAGGAGTCTGCAGGGGACTGTCAGCAGGTAGGCATGGAAATAGAAGCTAAAGCCTTATCTTCCAGTCAGGGCAGGGAGTCCAAGGTCACATGATACCAATGTGAGACTTGAAATCCAGGTGGTTGGAAGCGTCATGGATGGAAGGGGGCAAGCTGGAGGCAGGGAGGCCATTTCGGAGACAGGCAGTGTGTCTGTGTTCAGGGACTGGGCTGTCTCCTGACTCCCAGTTCAGTGCTCTTTTTCCCTGGCTATTGTGTGCATGCTTCTGGGTTCTAGATTGAAGAACTGGAGAAAGGCTGCTAGACAGTTGTCTAGGGAGGAATTGCAGCTTGCCTGGAGGGACGGAAAGCTTTCCCAGAACACTGGATCTAGGCCGCTGAGAGGAATGCCAGAGACTAGCAGATTGAACCCCATAAGCCACATGAACTGGCCTCTTTCAGAGGTGAAAAATGAATAAATGTTGGCGATTTCCTGCTGTTGAACTTACTAGATGTCCAGAGCAACCTCTGCCTCTCAGGTTCTTAGTCGCACACAGACCTGGTGACAGATGCGAAGCAAGCCCAAGTGCCTGGACAGGATGGTATCAGGGCACAATATAATTCCCTGCTTCCTTCACAGAGAGTTCTGAGAACTGGAGTTGAGACAATAAAAGTGACAAAAGTGAAGTCCTTGAAACTCCTCCCAGCCTCTGAGCTGGGAGAATTCCCTTCTGAGCCCCAGACCCTCTGGGTATGGAGTTTGTTTGGGAAGTGAGTTTGTTTGGAAGTGAGGACTTGATTCCATTGAGGAGAGATGAAGTAGTCTACATTGGAGAATTGGAAGACTCAAGGCAAACAGTGGCCATCAAAGATCTCCATCAAGTTAAAAGTCATCCTGCAAAGGATTAAGTACCCATTGGTGCCTCTCTAGCCAGCTTCCTGTCCTCCTCACCATCCTTCTCTGAATTAATGTATGCAATGAGGTTTTAGGCTCTTCTTTGGCTCCATTGATGTCAAAGAGACGCAAGAATAAATAAGTTTTTCAATCCAAGAGAATTAAACCATACATCTACACCAACAATGGTGCATCAATGTTGGTAGCAGTATTGTTTACAATAGCCACAAGGTGAAGATAACCTATGTGACCATCAATCAATGAATAGCTAAACCTCAGGTGATATGTCACGACATTACATAAACCCTAAATTGTTACAACTTTTAATGAAGTGTGTTAATATGATAGAATGTTACTCAATTACCAAAAGCCATACTATACATGGCTCAATTTATTTTTGTCAGTTGTGGGGCTTGAACTCAGGGCCTGGGTGCTATCCCTGAGCTTCTTTGGGCTCCAGGCTAGTGCTCTATCACTTGAGCCACAGTGCCACTTCCAGTTTTTGAGTGGTTTATTGGAGAAAAGAGTCTCACAAGGACTTTCCTGCCTAGGCTGGCTTTGAATCTAGACCCTCAGATCTCAGTTAAGATTACAGATGTGAGCCACCGGCGCCTGGCTTATGGCTCAATTTTAAAAACATTTAACACAGATACAATCATAAGAGGATAGATGTCATATGACTCCATTTTTGTGAAATTTATGGAACAGGCAAATCTGCAGAAGCAGAAAGTAGGTTAATAATTGCCAATAATTAGGCAGAATTGGAAGGGGGAGTGGAGATTAAAAATCAAGGATTCTTACTGCATTTTTTGTTAGAATAGTAAATGCTACAATAGTGATGATTACACAACTCTGAACACACCAGAATAAAATCACCATTTTAACTAGATGAATTGTATGTGAATTATATTTCCATAAACGGTGATCTGAAAAAAATCCCACCAAACTGCTTTTATTAAGTGATAGAGCACTTGCCTATGAAGCATAAAGCCCTGAGTTCAAACAGTACTAACAAAAAAATAAAGTAAAAATATCTCAAGAGTCTGAGGTTGGGTGTTTTCAAACTCTTTTTCTCCTCCCTGGATAATGGTGTGTCCTGAGTTCTAGAGACTGGGCATCTTGGGGAGATCTGAGTCTCATGTGAACCTGACATTAACTGACATGCCTCACTGTTGGGAGAAATGAGTTCCTGGAATAAATAACCTGCAAAGGCCTCTGAATCCAGTTCTAAAGCTCCAAGCTTTATGGTCACAGACTGCCCAGGGCCTTTTGGTCATATGGGAAAGGGCTCAGGGCTCAAGAGGGGGCAGTGGACTCAGACTTCTTAGCTTAGTCTGCCGCAGGCCATATCTGGCCCACTTTCCTTTTATTGCATTTTAATTAAGTTGTTCAATCAGATTGGTACCAGGAATCTGTAGGCTGTAACAGCTAGGGCAGGAGCAGAAGCTTTGTAGCGGAACTAAACCAACAAAGCCTCTTGAGCTGATCCAGGAGCCCTGGCTCCATTGAAGGGCATTGCTGGCAGGGAGGGAGATGAGGGACTTTATAGTGAGCTGAAGGAAGCTTTGTCTTGAGCCCAAAGAGGAGAGGTTGCCTCCTTATAGAATCATTGCTGTGGCTTCTGGGCTACAATGGCATTTTCATATGGTCATGGTCCAACTTCCAGATTGGACTCCCGCTCCAAGCACCACCAACCCCCTTTTCCTCCAGGATGTCTTTTCTATCCCAGTCCTTGGTTAGAAGTTAATCCTGGGTGACTAAAAATGTAATTATCTTAAAGGTAGGTGAGAGAAGAAGTTGACTCTAGAACCAGATAGAGGTAAGTCTATGCTTAAAACAGTCTAGAATAAAGGAAAGCCCTGTGGGCCGGGGGTGGGAGTCGGGGGCCAGCCTGAAGATGTTGATGAAGATGAGCTTGGGGAAGTACGCATGTGGTCACAGAAGTGCAGGAAGGGATCACAGTTGCTGTATAAAATAACATTCATGATAAGCCAAGATCCCCAACCTTTGGCCTAGCTCTATATGCAGAGCAATCCACCCTGCTGGTCTTTGTCCCCAGGGAGCTTGCAATCCACGAAAGAACACGGAGAGGAGGACTTGGGGAAAGAAATTGAAGGTAGAAAAGAGTAACCAAGTCAGCTTTAGGAAAGAGGACACCAGCAGAGGTCTTTGCCAAGAGGATAATGTTGAAGTTGATCTTTAAGACTGAGCAGAAAGTGAGAAAAACAAGGGAGGGGTTAACAATGTTCAACAAGAAACATACTCATTACCTTACTTATGTAACTGTAACCCCTCTGTATATCATCTTTACATTAAAATACAATA